ATGTCAGCACCAGGACAGAACCCAGGAATCCTGGAATTTCCTTTGGAGGCCAGTCAAATGTCCAGTTCTTGCACTGTGACCCCCAATAGCCCCCTTGTGTCAACCCCAGACATCTCTGCACTAAAGGGAATTTTCACAGCCTCTTGTATTTGAGTGACTAACATAAACACAAAAACAAACTGCAACACTCCATTAACTTATTAATGAGTCCTCCAGTGGAAGTATCCCCAGTTCCCCAAAGAGTCAATTTTCTTGATCATGACCCGTGACACGCAAGAGGATTTTAGAGTCGTTTCTTCTCATGTAAGAGTCAGTAATTATAAAGGGAAGTTTTGTGCCACTGTCCCCTCTTTGGAACGAGGTCCTCTTCCCCTGCCTGTCAGAAGAGCAAAGAACAGCTCTGAGATTTGACTCCCCAGGCCATCCTCGGTCATTCGGAGGAAGCTGGCTTAGAGATCACAGGTACAGCTGGTTGTGTGAGGTACTGATTCTCGGTGCATAGAATGTGCAATGTGATCCTACGGATACGCATTGTTATTGCAGTGCCGATAATGGAAGAGAGATCTGGTTGGGGAAATAACATTTAATACTTATAGATTGATTTCTCCTCTGAAGGGCTTTACAGATATCAGCTGGAGATTTCAGAGGAGCCTGGGTTAGGAGGAGAACAGTAACTGCTAACAAGTAAAGAGAGATCTGGTCGGAGGTAATACACTTAGTAGTTATAAAGGAATCTTTTTTTATAAAGCTCTTTAAAAACGATTAGCTGGGGTTTTCAGGGGCACCTCCATGAGTTAGAAGGAAAATGGCGCACAGAACCTTTACTGCCACGGCTATCTGTGACAGTCTCTTTCAGGGTATGTCTACATGACAGTGGCTTCAGCAGCACAGCTATTCCACTGCAGCTGTGCCACTGTAGTGTAGACGCTTCCTGCATTGACGGGAGGGGTTTTACCTTCTATGTAGCAAATTCACTTCTCTGAGAGGGGGTAGTTGGGTTGATGGAAGAATTTTTCCGTTGACCTAACTTCATCTACAGTGGGGACTAGGTGGACCTTACTACACTGCATAGAAGATAAAGTTTTTCACAGCCCTGAGCAAAGTACTGAGGTCAACCTATGTTTTAGGTGTAGACCAGTCTTCACACCTTGCTTCTACCATGGTAGGACCCTCTGCTGCCCAGATCTGAAAGATCTATCTCTGGGGCAAGGCGGAGGTGAGAAATGAAGACTAGAAAGAACCCAGGGAAGTGCCTGGATCAGCAGACAAAACCAGAGTGAGATTCCCAACACCATAATGATCTGAAAATGGGGGTAAACAGTAAGGGGGCCAAATTTGCAGAAGATACAAAACTACTCAAGATTGTGATGTCCCAAGCAGACTGCGAAGCGCTACAAAAGGATGTTACAAAAGTGGGTGATTGGGTAACAAAATGGCAGATGAAATTCAATGTTGATAAATGGAAAGTAATGCACATTGGGAAACATAATCTCAAATATACATATAAAATGATGGGGTCTAAATTAGCTGTTAAATGACTGGTGTGGAGAAAGTAAATAAGGAAGTTTAATTTACTCCTTCTTATAACACAAGGACTACAGATCACCAAATGAAATTAATAGGTGCAGGTTTAAAACAAATAAAAGGAAGTATATCTTCACACAACACACAGTCAGTCTGTGAAACTCTTTGCTAGAGGATGTTCATATTGAGATCCAGGAAGTGGGTGGGCGGAAGCCTGCCTACTGCTAAAGGGTTCCGCCCCCCCCCCCCCAGGCTAAGGGGGAGATTCACAGGACCTGGAAGCCAAGTGATTTCAGGAGGCAGCTAATAAAATAACAGGAAGAGGAGTGTGGTCAAAGGGTCAAACAAAGGTAACCCGACGGGAGGATGTTGTGAAGGCCAGGACTATAACACGGTTCAAAAAAGAACTGGATAAGTTCATGGAGGATAGGTCCATCCATTAGCCAGGATGGACAGAGATGGTGTCCCTAGCCTCTGTTTGCCAGAAGCTGGGAATGGGCGACACTTGATGATTACCTGTTCTTTTCATTCCCTCTGAAATACCTGGCATTGGCCACTGTCAGAAGACAGGATACTGGGCTAGATGGACCTTTGGTCTGACCCAGGATGATTGCTCTTATGTTCTTAGAATCCTCTTTACCAGAGTCTCCATTATCCGGCTCTGTGTGTTAACTGAACTGGGGATGAAGCTCTACGGATGATTGGAATTTTTGATGATCCAATCTGGCCCCGGTCCCTATTAGATTGGATAAGCAGGGAAGGATCGCTTGATGATAACCTCTTCTGTTCATTACCTCTGAAGCACTTGGCATTGACCACTGTCAGAAAACAGGATACTGGTCTGACCTAGTGTGGACATTTTTATGTTCTTATATTCTTCTTTCTACTAGAAAGGGGGTTGTGCACCTAACTCTCTTTAGTTCCATTGAAAATCCCATCCTGAGTGTCTGAAATATTCCAAAGTCACACATCTAACAGTGATGAAAGTGTATCCTATGCAAATGTTGGGTGCCTCTCTCTTTCCTTTTACTGGCTAGTGCATGTATAGAGGTTTGGTGGCTTTCACACAATGTTTGAGCTAATAGTTCTGGTCCTTTCACTCAACCTGTAGAAGTTCTTACCTGTAGATCATGAATTCATTCCTCACAGATCTCCTACTCAGAGATCCTCATCCTAAGAGCAGCACCAGAGTAGCAAATCTCAGATATGTACAGGTGGGGGACAAACACAGGCATACACAGGCAGGTATATTACCCCTGTGTCCAATCATCTTCTCAGTATTTCACTACAGAGGGTTTTGTGTGGTCTCTGCCAAAAGCTAAAAACTGGCTGATTGTAAGGATTATTTTGTGATGTTTGTAGAAGTAATTTTAGAGTACCAGATAGGATACTGGGTTTCAAAACTGTTGAAGTGAAACTTCATCACAGGAGGCAAGGTGGATGTGGGGCTAACTCTATCAACATTGAGAACAATGGACATCCATGGAGCAGTCCATATACGGACCAGGTGCCAGTTTGAGGATGGCAAAGCCAAAAGAAAAAAAACCCAAGAAAAATCTCAGAATAAGATGCCCCCTGGGGTAAGAACCAATTCTCTGTAAGTGTATAAAAGAGGAAGAAAGAGTTGTTGTCCATTACAGAGGAGAAACTCTGCCAGTGAGGGTGTTTCATGAAAGGTGGATCCTCGCTTTCTGAACTGGACAAGCACTGCAAGGACTATAAATATTAGGCAGGAAAGGAACTTGTTAATAAGCATATGCTATCAGTTACGTTCTATGTTTTGTTCTTTTACTCATAACCTTATGCTTCCAAACCTTTATACATCCTTTAGTTTGAATCTCTATCTCTATCTCTATCATTTGAATCTCTAGCTCTGTTCAATAAACTTCAATGTGGTTTTACTACAGATGCATCTAAGATCCCTGTGCTAGGACCAGTGTTGAACTGAGGTGGGGTGTCTGTCTTCCACAGAGGCGGCAGATCAGTCTGCAGTGCAGGTGTCTGAAAGTGAGACAAATGGGCTGTGTAAATTGCTAGCCTGCATTGGGACAGAGCGGGGCCCGTGGAGTTCAAAGCGGAGACTTGTGGCGCCAGCAGTTGGTGGTTGGGGAGGGTTTCCCCTACTGGACACAAACGAGGCCCTCACACGCTGGAAGCAGGTGGCAGTGATTCACCTTGGACGCCTCAGAGAACTCTGAATAGTGCCACAGCTATGCCCACCCATCCCCCGATTTTCATCGCCTCCAAATGATTGGCATCATCAATACTTTACCTGAGTGCTCACAGTCATTAGAGTGTTTAACCTCCTGGCACTCCTGCAAAGAGACGGAAACTTGCAGCATTATTGTAGAAAGGGAGAACTGAGGCTGTGATTTTCAAAGGACCCTAAAAATTCAGGAAACTAACTCTCTACGAAAATCAGTGAGAACTGGTCCCCTAGTACCCCTATTCCTCTTGGAAAATCCCAGAGCAGGAGGGGATGGGATTTGTCCAAGGGCACAGAGGATGACTATGGCAGGACAGAAACCAAACGCAGCTCCCCACAGTCCAAACCAGTGGTTTACCCTCAAAGCCATCCTCCCCCGCTGCTCATGCTTGGAGTGACATGGCGCTGTTCTCTATGTGAGAGATTTTCAGAGCTGGTTGACGTTCATTTGAAAAAAATAGGTCACTCTCAAAAAGAAGGATTAGTTTGAATCAGCATTTTTGATTGGAAAAATCACTTTTGGGGATGGATGTTCTCAAATTTTCTTTAGAACATGTCAAAATAAAATGAAACTTTTCATTTCATTGGGAGCCACTATTTTCACTTCTTGCATTTCAAATGGTAAAATGTAAGAACATAAGAACAGCCAGACTGGGTCAGACCAAAGGTCCATCTAGCTCAGTATCCTGTCTTCTGACAGTGGCCAATGCCAGGTGCCTCAGAGGGAACTAACAGAACAGGTAATAATCAAGTGTTACATCCCCACACATCCATGTGAGAGTGTTGTGGTTTTCTCACACTTTTTTACATTCTCATCCCCAATTGTACAGTAGGAAAAAATGGGGTAACCTGAAATATAAAAAAAGAAAAGAAGAGGGGAAAACAGACTGAAGATCCCAAACCTGGATGCTGAAAAAGAAAATCAGGGAGGTCTAGAGCCCCAGGGCTGCAGGAATAGGAATGAACACAATGGTTACCAGAGGAATTCTTTGGTGGGCAGGCCAACCCCCCTTATTCCAAGTACCCCAACACTGAAGATCGGTATTGGTGAAATGACAATCATTTGTTGTATCAGGATTCCCCTGAAGTGGGGATGAGGATGTACTGTTTAATTTAGAAATATAAGAAAATTCCCAAACCACCTTGGTTTGTTGATGTGGGTTTAAAATAAATGTCATATGCGTAACTTTAAGGGGGAGATTATAAAAACATTAGGAGTAGCAGTAGTAGTATTTCTGTTCAATTTGCAGATATATTTTAAGGACACAAAATGGAACAGCAGAATTTCAACACCACAGTGACAGAATTTGTTCTCGTAGGCTTCACTCAGAATCGTAAGCTACAGTCTTTTCTCTTTGTGGTCTTCTTCATAGTCTACATGACAACCTGGGTGGGAAACTTCACCATCATTGTTGCCGTGATTACCGACCACCAGCTGCACACTCCGATGTACTTTCTGCTGGCCAACTTGGCTTTCCTAGATGTCAGCGACTCTTCAGTCAATGCCCCCAAACTGCTGTCAGGTCTCCTCTCTCAGTGCAATATCATCTCGTTCAATGAGTGCCTCCTCCAGATATTCTTCTTCCATTTCATCGGTGCTGCAATGACTTTTTGTCTTGTGGTGATGGCAGTCGATCGATACGTGGCCATCTATAAACCACTGCAATACTTGACTATCATGAACCGAGGTGTATGTGTGGGGTTGGTGGCACTGGCATGGCTGGGTGGGTTTGCTCACTCTATTGTACAGATTGAACTGATCCTCCAGTTACCGTTCTGTGGGCCTAATGTCCTAGACAATTTCTACTGTGATGTCCCACAAATCATCAAACTGGCCTGCACTGACACCTACTTGATTGAACTATTGATGGTCTTCAACGGTGGGCTGCTTCTCATAATAGTCTTCATCTTTCTACTCACTTCATACACCGTCATCTTAGTTGAGATAAGGACACATGTCACGGAGGGGAAGCACAAGGCTATGGTCACCTGTGGAACGCAGATGACAGTTGTGAGCTTAATATTCATTCCTGGCATCTTCATCTATGCTCGACCCTTCAGGAAATTCCCCATGGACAAGTTGGTCTCAGTCTTGTACACTCTAATCACCCCAATGCTGAATCCAATGATCTACACGCTGAGAAATGCCGAGATGAAAAAGGCCATCAGGAGACTGATGAGGAGAATGCTGTTACCAGGGAAGAAAATAGAGGCATGATTTATATTTTTGAATGATGATTTCTATTAGAAACCTGATTTCAATATGTCAGACAGAGCATATATATATGCTCAATCATGAAAAATTGTGTTCAGAAATAAATCACAGACCAAGGGTCAGAATCCTTAATGAAGTCTATGGGACCGGTTGGTGTAAATCAGTAGAACTCCATTGGAAACAATAGACCAGGACCTCAGTTTGTGTAAATTGAACTAGCTGCAATGGGCTTAGAGATCCAGATCACTAGCCAGTGTAAATGTCCATAGACCCATTGTAGTCAATGAGCCAGATCCCCGGGTGGTATAAATCAGCATATCTCCATAGGAGTTGTGGGCCAGATCCCTAGCTAATGCAATTTGATGTCACTCCCTGAACATCTTGCAGCAGCTAAGGATCTGAGCCTGACAATTTTTGCTAAAAATGTTCTATTAATAATTTCAAAGATGGAAAAAATCAGGGAAATCGAAGTCTTATCAGGAAGAAAAAACCCTTTCAAATGAAGAATAGTTTATATAGCATAAGTAATTTTCTAAATGCCACGATGTTATTACTGAATGTTCCAGATTAGCAATATGGATATTATATTATACATTATACATTTCTCCCTCATACACAGATGCTGTATCTTTGTGTTTCTCATGTGACTGGTAAACAGTGTGATTTAATAAAAATTCAATCGCTGCTTTCACAGAGAATTAGTTAATTCTTTGAGACAATGTTTGTAGTTCTATTTCTATCTATACAGGTTAAATGAAAGTTCTCTTTGGTTGCCTTTTAAAAAGCAGAAGGTTGCACCTAAGTGGCTAGTAGGATTTTCAAAAGTCCCTAGGTGCATAACTGTCATTGAGTGCTCGTTGGTCCTCTTTGAAAATCTTAGTTGGCATCTATCTGGATTTAGGGTTGCCAACTTTGTATTTGCAGAAAACTGAAAACTCTTGCCCTGCCCTCTGTACCGCCCCTTCTCCGAGGCCACACCCCCAGTTCATTCCATCCCCACTCCCTCCATCATTCGCTCTCCTCCACCCTTGCTCACCTGCTCATTTTCACTAGGCTGAGGCAGGAGGTTGGGGTGCGAGAGGGGGTGAGGGCTCTGGCTGCAGGCTCTGGGGTGGGGCCAAGGATGAGGAGTTTGGGGTGCAGGAAAGGGCTCTGGACTGGGGGGTTGGGGTGCAGGAGGGAGTGGGGCTCTGGCTGGGGGTGGGGCTCTGATCTGGGGCCAGGTATGAGGGGTTTGGGGTGCAGGAGGGGACTCCAGGCTGGGGCAGGGGGTTAGAGTGTGGGAGGGAGCTCTGGGCTGAGGCAGGGGTTTGGGGTGTGGAGGGAGTATGGGCTCTGGGCTAGGGGTTTGGGGTCAGGGGTGGGGCCAGAAATAAGGGGTTTGGGATGCAGGAGAGGGCTCTGGGCTGGGGCAGGGTGTTGGGGTGTGGGAGGGCATGTGGATTGTGGGTGGCGCTTACCTAAGGCGGCTCCCAGGAAGCAGCGATATTTCCCTCCGGCTCCTAGGTGTAGGAGTGACCACGTGGCTCTTTGCACAGCCCATGCCTGCAGGCACCACCCCCTCAGCTCCCATTGGCTGCGGTTTCTGGCCAATGGGAGCTGCTGAGCTAGTGCTGGGGGCGGGAGCAGTGTGCAGAACCACTGTGGCCGTGCCTCTGCGTAGGACCCAGAGGGAAATGCCAACAGTTTCCCGGGAGTCATGCAGAGTAGGTTAGGGAGCCTGCCTGTGCTGCCAGCTGGATTTTTAATGACCTGATCAGCAGTGCTGACCGGAGCTGCAAGGGTCCCTTTTCAACCGGGCATTCTAGTAGAAATCTCAATACCTGGCAACCCTACCTGGATCTTATGCACCTATATATAGAATATTAGACTTGGAAGAGACCTCTGGAGGTCACCTAGTCCAATCCCCTGCTCAAAGCAGGACCAACACCAACTAAAGACTGCTGTGTGTATATACCAGACAACACCAATGAGGTAATAGATCATGCTAGCCACTTAGAACAAATCACATATCTTCCCCACGAAGAGCCAAGTTCTTTATGGAAGTGGCTAAGTAACATTTTCAATTTCTCTGGCATAGGAAACTGGTTGTTTCAGGGAGCCCTAACTCTCCTGTTTGGAATCCTAATAATTTTTGTATGTTTTCAGTTACTTTTCTGTTGTATCCAAAATTGTGTCAGGCATGCTACACAGATAGCTGCCCCAAACCAGAGTGCTAATTTGATGATTTTAAATATCACTGAGGAACAAAGAGATAAAGAACGATTGATATGTGGAACCCAGTCATTGTTGATCATTGCGTAGCATGACCAAAAGGAGGGATTGTGAAAGTAGAATGAATTATATTGAAATTATAATTCATTAAAGAAATGCTACTTGAAGGGTTTGTTGAAATATAGCTGTCAGGAAGAGAAACATTAAGGAGTGTGAGACAATGGGTCCTCAAACTAATTAACTTAGAGCTCCTACTGAGCTAGGAGATTGGTAAACGTTAGTATGCAAATAAGATATGTATGTATATTTGTCAGTTTCTGCTTCCTTTTGTCTCTTATGTTAAATTGGCTTTGGCTTATTTGTATAAATAAGTTAGCTTGAGCCTCAGAGAGGGACTCACATATCTGGTTGCATAGGCAAAGCGCTTTGCTAATAAACAGAGTGGTCTGACAAATTATGTGAGTCCTGAATCTGACTTTGACAATTTGGAGGTTCCACCGAGATGGCAACCATCTTCACTGGGGCCGTGTGAGTCCTGACTGTTCTTAGGACGGCCGTGGCAAGCTGGCACCTGGGTATTTGGCCCGAGCGTTCCTCCGCCAGAACGGAAGGGTGCATGACCACAGTGAAGTCTATGCCATCGAACCTGTTGGTTCCCACTCTGTTCTGGTAGGGATCCCGGGATCTGACATCAGGAATCTGGTCAGGTAATTATTTCTGTGTGTTGTCCGGACTGAGGACTGTCTTGTCTCTGTGTCTATCCGTCCTCCCTGTGATGTGTTTGAGTCTGGGCGCCGTCTCCGTCCGGGGATCAGCTGAGCAAAGGGTTCCTGTCCCCATGGTCTGAGTGAGTGAAATCTGCACAGTCGCAGCCACACCATGCCTTGGGTAAAACCCTTGGTGTGAAAGCAAGGGCGATGGTGGCAGTAGCCTGTGGACTCCTTTGGTGTGTTGCACCAGGCATCGCTCTGATGAACCCGACTTTCCTTCTTGTGTGATTGGTGTCTAAAGTCCTCCTGTATGGGTAACCAGACATCTAAAAGAACACCGGCTCAATTTATGTATTTTAGGAAGGGTCCAGACTCCTGTAAATTTCTGGAAAATGGTCTAGGCTAACTCAGGAGAATCCCAAAATTCAGTGGCCACTGTTAGGATCTTGGGACAAAGACCGAGTAGACGTCTTAAAAGACAAACTCGGCCAACCTAAAACTAAATTGGCAAAAGGAGAGGTTGATTGTTTCATGCAGCGGTGGGAAAAGGCAAATCATAGGTGGACAGAATCAAAACTTGCCTCTCTCAAAGACTCTGGCTTCTATCCCACCAGATGCAACTCATTTTACTGTTGTTGATTTGTGCTCTGCTTTCTTTTCTGTCCCGGTTCACCCTGACTCCCAGTTCCTGTTTGCCTTTTCTTACAAGGGGCAACAGTACACATGGACCACACTGCTCCAGGGGTATACTGAAAGCCCATCATATTTTTCCCAAGCATTAGCCCGAGACCTTGCTGACCTTGTTTTCCCGTCCAGGTTCACACTAGTCCAATATGTAGGTGACCTACTCCTCTGTTCCCCTTCATTGTCTGCCTCTGAAACTTTAATGCTCCTTACTGCCCTAGCAAATAAGGGTCACAAAGCTTCTCGCTCTAAACTACAATTCTGTCAAGCTTCTGTCACATACCTTGGCTTTCTCCTCTCCCAGGGTTCCCGTGCACTTTCTCCCACCCACGTCCAAGCTATCCTTAGCTTTCCCCAACCCCGCTCCCCACGCCAGGTCTGGAAGTTTTTAAGCGTGGCTGGATTTTGCAGACAATGGATTCCCCAATATGCCTCCCTTGCAAAACCTCTCCAGGAACTCACTTGATTCTCTGTGCCTGACCCCATGCCGTGGCCCCCTGAGGCCAATTCTGCCTTTGTTTTCCTCAAACAGGGTTTGGCTTCTGCCCCTGCCTTAGGGCTGCCTGACTATTCTAAGCCTTTTACCCTTTTCTGCCATGAACAATCTAGGTGTGCACTTGGAGTTCTCACTGAGATGCACGGAGAAAAGAACCGCCCAGTGGCTTATTTCTCTGCCACTTTAGACCCTGTTGCCCAAAGCTTACCCCCCTGCCTGCGTGCTGTGGCTGCTGCAGCGTGCCTAGTCAAAATGTCTGATTCCCTTGTTCTCCGCTCTCCTCTTACCGTCCTGGTCCCTCACTGACCTCACCCCGCTCCAAGACTCTGCCCCAGAAACCGAGAAAGAATCCTGGGTTGCCCAAGGTTGCTCTCTACATCCTGATTCTTTTTGGCGCTCGCCTACTGGCACCTTTGTAGCCCCCTTTTCACTCTACCCATCTCTGGCTGCCCTGCTACATGGTGTTTCGCATGTCAGAAAGGATGGGATGGTCTCTGCTGTAACTAAGACAGGATGATGGGCCCCCCATTTTAGCTCTTTTGCAGCCCGCCACTGTGCAGCCTGTACCATTTGCCAAAGCCATAATATTGGTAAACCTGTAAAAGTGGCCCAGGGGTTCTGAGGTCTGCCTCAAGCACCATTCTAGCATTGGCAACTTGATTTTGTACAAATGCCTAAGTGTCAACAATATGAATTTATATTGGTTATGGTATGTTTATTCTCTGATTGGATTGAAGCCTTTCCTTGTCGCAAGGCTGACCACTGTCTGTTGCCAAATGTTTGTTAAATCATATTATGCCTGCCAAGGGAATTCCTGCTACTCTGTCCAGTGATCAGGGTACACATTTTACTGGACAACTTGTTCAACACCTGGACCGTATATCGCACATCAAACACCTGTTGCACTGTCCCTCCCACCCACAGAGTGCAGGTGCAGTTGAAAGACAAAATGGTGTACTTAAGAATAAGCTGGCTAAAATTTGTGACTCTACAGGATTAAGCTGGCCAGTAGCCTTACCCATTAGCCCTTATGGACATGAGATCCACTCCATCCCAAAGGCATAAATTAAGTCCCTTTGAAATTGTTATGGGACACCCTATGCGAGCTATGACTACCATTACTCCCATTCCAGATTTGAACTTGACTCACAGTGCGCTCCTTCAGTATTGCAAGGGACTAATGCAAGCTGTAAGTCACTTTCATTCACAGGTTCAAGCCGCCTGGCCCACAGAACCCACCTCTGACGCTTGCCACAACCTCGAGCCAGGTGATTGGGTCTACGTACAGTGCCATCATCGGAAGCACGCCTTGGAGCCCCAGTGAAAGGGTCTTCGTCAGGTACTGCTTACTACACAGACGGCTGTTAAACTATCTGGCATCGCAGCGTGGATACATGCTTCACAGTGTAAGAAGACACCATCCCCAGAGAACCAATCATCATCTCAGGACAACGCAGAGTCAATTTTGACTCCAGGAGAAGACATAGAGGAACAGTCTGCAGTACCTTACAATCTACACTCTCGTAAGGGTTGCCAGAAGCAGACGAGAGGAAAAAAGAAAAACCT